ACAGCTTTACAATACAGAGAGCTCTAAGCATAGCCTCGGTGGATTAAACTGGGCAGGTCCACCTAAACATACATGTTTTTCTAGTTGCTATTTAAAATGAGTTATTTGCCAGAAAAGGCCATCATTGATGCTCTCTATATAGATACAGCTATTGATTTGGACATATAAGGTTATATTTAAAATCCTCTTTAATAGCCCAGGTTTGATGAGACAACACAGAATCATGTTATTGATTTCTTTTTTTAAAAAAAATACCAGTTTTCATGATTAATTTGGTCATTTTTTTTTAAAGCCTACGTTTTAATGCCATCTTGCTTGTTCCCTTTATTTTCTGGATAGAAATATAGCTGAAGGTCAGGTCCTTCTTAATGAAACTGCCGAGCCAGAGTCTGAATAGGCTTCATCTTTGCCATCAAATACAGTTTGCCTTGTTATTATTATGGGACTATTTAATCCAAACCAATAGGAAGCAAGCCCTGAGTTGTGACCCCCAATTAGAGTCTCAGAGCTCACTTCTTGCCCTGACAAATACAAAGTTGTGGTGTGCTTCTGGTGCCGCCGCCTGCTGTTAGAGAGTGAGTGGGGCGTAAATGTTATATGTGCTCCATCTGCAAGTGTTATAATAAGTTATTCAAAGCTCTTAGCACAGGACCAACCAGAGCGTGCCTCCCTCTCAGTTCCAGCACGTTTTCCTGCCCATCAGATGGATGCTCCTCTGTTGGAGTCTTTGGAAGGTTCTGGTGTCTTTTGTTTTAATTGGCGGGCTAGAGCCGACTCCTATGGTGTGATTTTCATTAGAGAGGGGCTGGAGAGGGAGTGTTGGAACAGCCCTCCAAACCCAACCATGAATATTAAACATAATACAATTACAGCTTTCAGACCAATTTTTTTTTCTTTTCAACGGGCAAAGTTGATGAAACACTCATGAGATAGGGATTCACAATATCTGTCATTGGCTTCTTTTTGTCCCTGGAATCAGTTGTCTTGGCACATTTGTGCCCATTTGCCGTGCTACCTGCTTCCCTGCGTCGGGTGTTTGATTTGAGCGCTGAGGGCCCTGGCTCTGCCAAGGTGCGCTGCGGCTCGGGTTGGGGCCGTGCTGTCAGGTGTGCGAGGCAGACATGCATCTCTCCACGTGAACTCGATCGGTTCATGTGGACTCTGCACCCCGTGCTGCCTGCTGTCTCTGTCTGTCAGCCAGAGACCAGAGTGATGCCTAAAGAGATGTCTTGTAAGTGCTTTTCCCTTTACCCTGTGGGGAGAGGTTCGAATCTGTTTTGGCCCACTTCAGTTTCCCTTAGTGAGATAAAATACACTAATGCTGTATCTTTCAGTGTGTCTGTGTATTTTGTTTGGAGCCATCCATGCTGGTATCTAAATACAATAGGAAAACAGATGGCAAACTTTGAACTTCTGGACCAAATTTGTGTTTGCCTTTGTCTCCTTAACAGCCAAACTGTAAATTATGGAGTATAAATATTCAACAGAGGAGCTCTTTATGAAAATCACCAGAGCAAAATAGACCCTTATTAACCAAATATGCACTGAAAAGGACTTGGGCTAAAATCGCCCGCCCCCCTTTTCAAGTTCCCATCAGTAGGCAGAGCAGCTGTAGCCTCCAGCAGAGTCCTTTCACAGCGTCTCTACCTTTCCTCTCTCCTCTTACCCACAAATGCCTACGGATAAGTGTCTTGAAGTGCTGACAGAGGGGCTCTTTGTTTTCAAAGTGTTATTGCATGCTCGCTGTGCACCTCTGGTCCTGGGCGCTCACTGGTAAGTGGGGCCCTGAATGGCGTGGCCCTCCTGTAACCCGCGCCCCCTCGTCGGTTACACGTCCCAGCCTGAAAGAAGTAATGGATCTCTCTGTGTGTCCTAAGAATACAGATTTCCAAAATCCTGTTTTATTTGAAACAAAGCATCCATATGGGAGTGTATACAAGGTATGTTGTGTACAATTTAAAGAGTAATGAATACCTGGACATCCATCACCTGACTTAAGACCATGAGCAGGACTTGTGAAGGCCTCTGGGTGCCCCTCCCAGCCATGAATGACTTCTTGTTTCTTAAACAACATGGCAGTGTCGAGAATAAAAAGTAAGCCGCCTTTATTCCCCTCATTCTTCCACTCACACTCTTCCGCATGGTAGCTGCTATTCCCAATGTGAGAATATCCCTCCAGAATTTTTATCTTTAAAATTTTTCAGTTTTACTTAAACAGGTAACCTCATCTTCAAAACTGAAAAGCACAAGAAACTATAAATATAGGGAGACGTTGTCTTCTGGGAGCTTCTCTGTCCTCAGCCGAGGCTGCCTAACAGGTAGCATTCTCCAGAGGCCATGTGCACACGCTCAGCGCAGATGTGTGTCCCCTGCGTCTGTCACGCGGCCAGGCCCGTGCTCCTGGTGTGGAGTGGTGTTTTGGTGACGGCCGCCTGTGCCTGTGTGCAGATCTGCCTCATTCTCTAAAGACCACACAGGGCCCCCTGTGTGGATGTCCCAGCGTGGCCTTTCCGAGCTCCGCTGATGGAGCTGGGCCTTCGTGCCGTCCCCACTGAGTCACTCAGCTTCGTGACAATGTAAATGTTGTTTCCCACTTTTCCTGTTGGCCTGCTTACTGTAATGTCTTTCTGTCGCAGGCTGCTGGTAAGGGCTCTTCTGTCGTTTGCCAGTTCCTACTTTATGATGATACTCTTTGATGTGTGCTTCCTTTAACTTACTCTGATTCGTGCTCACTGTGAGTATGCACGCCTTTCATTCTGGAGAAATACCAGCCATTTAACTCTTTGAATATTGCTTCTTTGCCATACAGTCTCTTTTCTCCTTTTGGAAGGTCTTTTGGAGACAAGCAGAACCATCGTCCCCTTCCATCCTTCCTGTCTCTTAACCCTTCATTCACATTGTTCATGTTTGTGCTCCATTCTAGGTACTTTTCAGATCTAGTTTCCAATTTGCAAAGTTTTTCTCTAATCTGCTTCTAGCCTATCTAGTGCGTTTAATTTCAGAGACTGTTTTCATGTCTATAAATTGTGTTTTTTATAAGCAGAGTCTCAACACTCCCTTTGGGTGGAGCCCAGTCTGACAGTCCTGCCCCTGACCCATGCTTCCTGGGATCGGCCTCACCGCCACCGCACATGCAGGCAGGCAACCGAAAGTGCAGCTTAAGCTCCCCAGGCTGGTTTTCTATGTGGGCCCTGGGGAGGTTGCTTACTCTGTGAGCTCAGCAGTGCATTTAAAAGGATGTACTGCTATCTTATCCAGCAGTATCGAGTGATTTCCAATGAGAGGGTGAACGAGGTGCCTTAAACAGAAGCCCCATATTTGCTGCTAAAAAAGTACTGTGGCTAATGGCCGTGTGTGTGTGTGTGTGTGTGTGTGTGTGTGTGTGTGTGTACACAAATGTTAGATACAGCCTAGATAAATTCCTCAAAGCAAAACTGCTAGGCCAGAAGGGAAGTATATTTTGTATTTTGTTGGCTATTGCCAAATCACTCCCCACAGAGAGGGCCTGTGCTCACATCAGCCGTACAGAAGTACCTCTCTACTCAGGGCTCACCCGCACAGAAGGGCTTAGAGTATTGCCAGACTTTACCTCTGCTGGGCAGACAGGTTGACAAGTGGCATTACTGCATTGTAGTTTTATTTCATAATTTCTCTCATTACCAGTGAAATTGAACATCTTAACACACGTTTAAAAGCCTTTAGTATTTTTCTGTGAACTTTTTCTTTTCTCTCGATTTAATAATAGGTTTCAGTCTTCACTATCAATTTGAAGGATTTTTTTTTTTTTACAAGAAATTAGCCAGTCCTCTCTGGTGCAGACATTTTTCCCAGTTTACCATTTGCCTTGACTTTTTTTTTTTCCCACGTGGTAGACGAAAAATCGTAAGTACTTTTATGTGCAGTTGTCAGTATTTTTCCTGACTTCTGGGGCTTTTTTATGTGTAGAAAGGCCTTCCTATCCTGAATATTTTTAATTGTGTAACTCTGAGCCCTCTATAGTTAATTTTGGTGTGGTATATATGGTAGAGCTCCCAGTTAAGAAAGCTGTTAATAGGGTATTTTGCCTTTAATACCCTAAGTGGGATCTTCAATTACATTTATAAAACTAGAAGTTGTACAAAAGGTAGCTGTTGATTGACATATTAAAATTTGATTCTGAATTATTACTGAATTCTCTTGGATTGTCATCCCTAATGATAAATTTGTCCACTTCTCATTTTCTACTTTTATCTAATTGTATTTAATTTTTTAAAACAATGTTAAATAATGTTGGTAAAAGTATACCACTATTGTTTAAAGACTTTTCATTAGGAATAAGTGTAACATTTCATCAGATTTCTTTTCAGCATCAATGGGAATGACCCTGTGGTTTTACCTGCTTTTTATAGTTGTATGGTGGGCTATATTAACACCTTGATCACCACATCACCCAAATCTGGGTAACAGTTGTGGTTTCTAAGGGGCACCCCATCCACAGTGGGCGATCAGTGTGTTAACAGATCCTAGATGGAGTCCACCTGTCTGTAGCACATTGCTGTGAAGTCTGTTGGTATGCTGTTTGGGTCTTAGCACAGATGCAGATCTCCAGTTGTCTTCTGCCGTGCTCTCGGTGGCAGGTTTCGGGTGATGAGAGGATGCTGGCTCCTTGTGGAGAGCTGGGAAGCTCTCCCTCCCCGCCTCCGCTGTGCTGTGGACAGTGCACAAGGGTGGCTGTTCCTTCCAGCTTGCTCTCGTGTTGCAGGGACAGTTGCTCCTTGACAGCTTTCCCAGCTTGCTCTTCATTCCTTGTTCTATATGGACTTTCTGTCTCCTGGGGGTCAATTTTGATAATTCTCATTTTCCTAGAAAGTCATTTATTCACCTAGGTCTTCAAATCTGGAGACTTAAAAAATTAACTCAAGAAATAGAGAAACTGAATTACTTTAAGAAGGGGGGGGCTAAAAAGAAATTAGGTCCATGTGGGGTTCTTTAATTGAAGTATAGTTGATTTATAATCTTCCTTTTTTTTTTTAATATTTTCCTGGCAAGTTTTACCAAACATATTAGTAAATTGTAATGAAGCACTCTCTTCTAATGTTTTTTCCTCTGAAATCTACCTTTTCAGGTATTAAAATTGTCACCCCTCGTCCTTGTCACATGCAAGTGTGCCTTTCACGTGTAGCATGTACTGAGTGTTGCCGTGGGGCCCATTTGAAGCTCTTCCTGTTAGGAGGGGGGGATTTATCCTGCGTGCGTTTGTCCACCAGGCTGACACGTTGGGTCTTTCTGAGCTGTCTGCTCTGTTCTGCGTTTGTTTTATACATCACTCCCTCCTGTGTGTTGGCTCCTCACGGGCCTTCTGATATTTTGCTCCATCACTTTCTTTCAGTGTGTCCACAGGTAGTTCACTCTGAATCTTTTTCTGTTTAAAAAAAAAAACAAAACACTTCATTATGCCCTCAAACTTGGTAGGTAAGCTGGTATCGAATTTTTGATTCAAATAATTTCCCCTCAGAACTCTGAAAATAATACGTGTGTGCACACTCATATAACTGTCAGCGTTTCGGGCCTAGCACCTGTTTCAAGTCATCCCTTCTCCCCACGTTTTTTTGTGTCAGACATGTTCTCAACCACGTTTAGCATATCAGCATTACGTTTGCCCAGCTTCCTGCTCGCTGGTGAGGTCTTTTCAGGGTAGCAGGTGTCTTTTGTGACCTGGAGCAGAGGGGCTGTTAAATTTACCTGTACTGAAATAGCACCACACTGAACGTTAGCTCTTGTGGCTTATATCAGCAACTATGTTGGTGTTTTTAGTGGATAAGAGATTTGTCTCATGGTCTAATTTGCCCTTATTTGGAAATTTGGCATATACTTGTATAAAAAGTAGTTTTTAAAGACATTCTTAAAGAAATTCAGTTTATTCCAAGGCAGGTACTTATCTCAAGGCTTTAGTGACTGCCAAGTGTCCACACACACTTATCACAATTCTGTTTGTTATGCTTTGTCAACTACGATGCGTTCTCTGGCCAGATTTCAACAAGATGGTAGTGAACTTACAAAGTTAAGTTAAATACCTGAGAAGTGGGTATGGGCTTGGGTTGCAGACAAATGTACCTGTTTTACATTTTGCCCTTAACAGAGTTTTATACGAACAGAGCAGTGGCCATGTGGGGCCGTACACTTACCCTCGGCCCAGGCTTCTCGGGCCAGCACCCCCATGGAGGCATGATGCTAGGCAAGGCTCAGCTTCCCTCTCCGTGGCCTGCGCTCAGGGCAGGTGTCCCCCCTGTGGAGCACAAAGTGAGTGACAGGGCAGCCGGCTTGTTCATTCTGAGTCCTCGTTCTGTGCCTCGACTAGCTGTGGGTGCTCTAAGCTAGTTCGTTCCTAGGGCCTCTGGGCTGCCCACGAGGACACGCTAACAAGGAGACAGAGGTCTGGTATCAGTATTTCGATGTTTGTAAGTGAAGGGGTTTCGTGTTCTTCGTTTCCGTAGGGTTGTTGTGCACAGCCCAGCACAATTGAGGAGGAATTTGTCATTGCGGGCTTTAACGCTGATCTCTGTGCTCACCTTGGGCCCTCCAGGGTGAGGCTCCATGACCTCCGCACTGACACGATCGCCCTGTCCATCTCTGCCCACCAACTCGGAGTCTCTGCTGTCCAGATGGACGACTGGAAAATCGTCAGCGGAGGCGAGGAAGGCCTGGTCTCCGTGTGGGATTACCGGATGAACCAGAAGCTGTGGGAGGTGCACTCCAGGTGAGGCGCCCAGCGGCAGGAACGATCCGCGTCGGCCTTGGAGCCGGCGCAGCGCTGGGTGCGGTCCACGTGATACCGTGTCACCCGCACTGTGCCCGTCAGCCAGCTGCCGTCACCTCCATTTTCAGATGAGGAAAGGGGCTCACACATGGAGCTGGTCATTGCTACAGTGTTCAAACTGCCTCGACTCCATCAGTTCAGGTAGAGACCACGGCAGGACCGGCCAGACAGCATGTAGGGGCACTGCCGGCTGCCCGGGCCCCAGCCCCAACTAAGGAGGCATTTGTAACTTTAACCGTTAGCTTTAAAAAATTCAAGAGACAGCTAGGCTCCCAGGCACAGGCTGATGGCTTCACAGATGTAGGTACACGGCTACTCAGGGGGCCTAACCCCTTAAACATGGTGAGCGTGCTCCTAACCTTTAAAGCAGAGGCAGCCTCTCCTGGAGCAGCGCTCAGCTGGAGCTGACCTGAGGCCATCCCCTCGCCCACATCCACCCAGCCCCACGTGCCTGTGGGAGACGGACACCAAGCCTCTCCCCGCTGTCCCTCAGCACCGCTGTGCCGACGTGTTTTGGGGCAGAGGGCCTGTGGGTGTGATGAGGGAGAGCATCCAAAGATGCGCGCGAGGCAGGCCCCTGCTACCTGCAAAGCAAGGTGACTTGAAGACTGCTCACAGTCTAGTGTAAGTGTGAGCTCAAGAGAGGAATTGGTTTCCTCCTTGGAGGGCAGTGGCCTTCAGATGAGACCCCAGGATGCCATCTGTGCTGCCTGGCTCTGGCCCTCCCTGCCTCCCTCGGCAAACCCGACGGCCCTTTTTCTGATTTCTCAGTAATGCGCTTAGTTGCCACCAGGTGGTGCCAGAAGGCAGTGAAAACTCCCACACTTTGGAATCCCAGCGCTATCTGCCTTTAAGGAAACCCTATTATTTGTTTTAAAGAACTGGCTCAATCTGGCCTCTAGGACAGCTCCCACTGCAGTTGAGGCCCCCAGGGACTGTCAGCAGCCGCTCTGTTTAGTTCACTAGGCCCGTACTCTAGCAGATGTCATTTTTCTCTCCCTGAAAAGCTGCACTCCCTCGGATGGGTCATTGAGGTGAAGCCAGGGTAAGTAAGGTCATGCCCAGAATTGTCGTCCTGTCCCGGCCTTCCTGACTTGTTTGTAAATGCACGTCCAGTTCTCACCACTGGTTAGTGGCTTGTCCCAGAAGGAAGTCCCTGTTTCTACCAAAGCAAAGCTGGTGCCTCCCCCGTCTCTTGCCCAGAATTCTACTCACTCAAGTCCTCCAGGCCAGTGCGCACTGCCGACCCCAATTCCCACTCAAGCCCTGGTCCCGCTGTGGCGCGCTCACACTGCCACCCTGCCTGCTCCAGCCTCGTCGGCCAAACTCCTCTAATCCTTCCGCCCCTCCTCAGCCAGCTTTCCCCTGTCCTCCCCTTTCTGGCGCTGGTACCATCAGTCAGGCAGCTGCAAGCCTGGGCCTGAGCCTGGACTCGACTCTTCCCCATCCTCCTCACCTCACCTTTTTCCTTCCATCCATCCCTCCTACCTTGGGCTTCCCTTTAACTTTTATTGCTCTGGAGAGACTCCTCTGTCTCTGCCCCCAGCCACCGGCAGAGCAGCCCCAACTTGGCCTGTAGGGACCCCACTCACCTACTCCTGCCACTCTCTGCCCTTCTGAGAGGGCCTGGCTGACCTTTTCAGCCTGTGGTGACGTCTCCTGTTCCTCCTCCCAAGTGCTGAATTCTGTGTCCCATCTTGTGGCTTACAACATCTCTTGTGCTGCAGAAACACTGGCTATCTTTTGTGGGAATGTATCTCACCTGCTTCACAGTTGGGAGTCTCTGATGATGGGCCTCTGCTTGCATTAGATGTCTTTTTTATCCTGTCTCCTGGCTCAGTTCTCCACTGGATAGAAATTCTTACAATGAACAAAAGCCTTTGCTGCTTAGATTTCAAGCAATTTTGTTCCAAAACTTTGTGCTTTCACAACCTCGAGTACACATGTCACTTGTAGCCCTCTGACTTTAGGAGTAGTGGGCCTTTGTAGGTGACCACCAGCTATGCCCCACAGGCGGGGGACGTGGCTCAGAGAGCTCGAGTGACTCACCCAAGGCCAGCCAGCCAGTCAGTGGGCGTAGAAATGGGGCTGTTCACCACCACGTGCCTCTGAATTGTTTCAAGCTCAGTTTGTCCTTTATGTCCAAAACCACACCAAGTTTGGGGGGCGGTCAGGCAGAGTGCACAAGGGGCATTCAGACTTGTCTACGGAGGAGGCCTAGCTAGTTTTGGGAAACCGGAAACTGAGGAGAGACATTGCCCCTCTGGGGTCCCAGTTTCCTACTCTGTTAAGGAGGAGCCTGGCTTTGAGGGTTCAGAGTTCCTGGCAGCTCCAAACCTCCGAGACCACATAGCAAAGGTAGGATGTGCTCAGGTTCCATGGGACTTACCATGACAAGCCTCCTCTCCCATGTGTTCCAGGCACCCCGTGCGGCACATCTCCTTCAACAGCCACAGCCTCATCACAGCCAACGTGCCCTACGAGAGAGTGGTGTGCAATGCCGACCTGGACCGCTTCACCACGCACAGGAGGTCAGTGTCCGGGCTAGGCTGGGCTGGATTTAGAGGTGTTCAGGAGAAACCATCTTCGCTTGATTTTATAAATAGAACACCCCGGGGCCACACCGCTCCCTGCAGGATGTGCCCAGGCATGGCCATTCTTTCCAGAGTCGGGAACACACGTGTGGCTGCAGTAGAGTGGCATCAGCCAGTAACAGGTGCTGAGTGCCTGTGTTCAGTGCTTCAGCAAGACTCTACATGGGGGAGGGACACAGTCGGAGGGCTGCCGTCTGAGCCCAAGACAGAAGACTTAGGGACCTGCTGTGTTACAGGCCCAGGCTTTGCCTATGTCACTAGGATTTGGAGGTGTGCCCTTATGCTCAGTGTGCTGGGTGGCAGCTACCAGACGGGAGAAAGGCCCACACAGGAGGCTCAGGGGCCCTTTCTCATCTGGCTGACAAGTGGCCTCTTTGCAAGGCCTTCCCTGAGGCTGACCCTTGCTGCCTCCCAGTACTCACCTCAGTTGCCTCCATCAAACTTGTGGCTCACGTGCTTCTCTCTAGTCCTGGGCTCTGGAGTGTCGATACACTGTGGGCCAGAAGATGTTTGTTAGTGATTTGCTGTCCTGTCTCAAGCAAATGCTGGCTGCAAAGACAAGCTATGGGAGGTGAGGGCCAGGAACCCAGGACTGACCCCATCACCACCTCTGCTTTCTCTAGACACCGGGGGCTGATCCAGGCCTATGAGTTTGCAGTGGACCAGCTGGCCTTCCAGAGCACCGTTCCCATCTGCCGTTCGTCCTGTGACACCACGGCGGGCTGCAACTATGACCTTGCCCTTGCTTTTCCCTATGACAGTATTTAGGGTGTCGCCTCGTTTGGGAGCAGGGGGAAACGTGGGAAGAACCAATTCTGTGAGTTTTAGAACTACAGGGGAGCACCGCACTGGATTTAAGTGCTGGGGGATGAAAGCAGCCCCTGGGCGCACGTGTGTGAGCACACAGCCCTCAGCTGCCCACGTGTGTCCCTGGCCAGTTACTGTCCCTGTCTCTCAGTTCCGTACACTGATGATGCCCACTTATTCTTCCCTCCTCTCCCCATCCCCGGAGTGTCACCCCGGCCCAACCCCATGGTTCTGTACACTACACAGGCCCCTGCTACAGCTCAGATGAGGCCCTTCTGCCCCAGCCCGCTGGCCCTAACCCTTTCTGCTTTGGAGGCCTTTAGATATGCTGGTCTCTGAGCCAGAAGGCTACAGCACTCACCTGGCCCTTGGATTCGAGGTAGCTGTTCACTCTGGATCGTCTTCTCTGACACCACCCCTGACGTGAACCTGGGAGAGCGGTACTTTCTCCTCATAGCTTTTACCACGGTTTATAATTATATATTTATACAATTGTTTCATTAATAACTTCTGCTTACTTTTGTGTCTACAACATGTGCTATGAAGTAGGCATTTTCTACATTATTCATTGAATAAACCACCATCCTTGATGTGGGATGGAAGATGATTGATTGGTTCTGGAGGAGAGAATGAGTGAGAAGAGGAAGAGACATCCAAGGAAGCAGGGTGTGAAGCCACTAAGGGCAGCGCCTGTCACAAACTCAGTTTGATAAACAGCTTCCATTTCCAAAGGGTGTTACTCTTAATTCAGAGTGTTCTCAGCAGCAGCTAATATCCGTTCAAAATATCAAAGCAAAAACCCTGATAGAACTACAAAGGGAAGCAACAATCCATGCTCATGGTGGGTGATCAGATCACATCAGTCAAAATATTTAAGGATTCGGAAGATTTACTTAATTTACAAGCTTGACCTAGTAGATTGTAGATAGAATTTTGTACCTTGTCAAATACCCATAGACCATGGACAAAGAATGACCATGTGTGAAGGCCACGAAGAGTAGTTCCCGACACGCCCAATTCAGTACAATTAGAAATCAAACAGCTGAATAAAAACAAAAGGTGCTCCTGGATTTCATGCTGGAAAATAAGACCAAAAGTCAGGGAACTGAGCTGTCACCTCAGAAAGCTTAAAGGTAACAGTGATCCCAAAGTAGAAGAAAGGAGTTAAAAAGGATTAAAAACACACATTAATGAAATAGAGACCCAGATAACAAAAAACTGCTTTGGGCTTTTTTTCCTAAGACAAAATATACAACTCTTGATAAAGGGGTGGGGAGGCAAAAGGGTCTGTCAGAAACAGAAGTAGGGACACAGAACAAGTATTTTCAGTGTGGAGACGGCGTGCCCACACTAATCCAAGAAAATGAAGCTTTTGTACTGTCCATGAGCAGATAAGGCTGGGAAATGCACTATGACTCAGAGACCTAGAACTTTGGAGTCGTGAAGGTTCTGAAAGGTTTTTCAGGCTGTTTAAGACACTCAGTCTTGGAAAATCCACAGCCACCCAACTGGACAGGACGACAAAGCCAAGTAAAGAGCCGCGACTGGGAACCATCACCTCTCAGTCCAGAGGGGCTGCTTTCCTTCAGGCTGCTTTCCTGGGAGGCAGCTTTGTCAGGACAGTTCTCTGCTTCCTTTCAGAAAAACCCAATTACTTCATAAACACAGCCAGGCTGCAGTTAGCAAGGGAAGGCTGTATTTTATTTACGCTCCCTGCCGTGTGGAGCTCTGACCCCCGAGCGACCTCGCTTGTTCTTAATGCAGCTGGACCACTGGGTCAAGTATATTTTTTTTCTTATAAGCAGCAGCCCCTGCCAGTCTGATTTTACAGGTACATTCTGCCTCCCTAGCTTTGCAGGAATGACGGATAAGGGAAGAATTCAAAAGAAATTAGATCAGAAAAGTTTACTGAAAGTAAAAAGAGCTTTAAACTATTTTTATTCCCTGCCAACTGCTGGTCCAGTGTAAGATGTTATAAGCGCTGGGTTTTTCTTCCCAGTCTGTTTTATCACATCACCCATTCATGAAAGCCAGCTGGGTTATGTGAAGGAAAAGTTCACTGGACCCGAACTATCATCTCCAAACACGCCAAGCTGAGTCAGCGTTTTCTACTGTAAACCTTACCTCCTGGAAGAAATCGCCCTGACGGGGAGAGGAGCAAGGTTCCTTATGAGCCAGTTTTCACCAGTGGCTCATGTCCACCCCCTTCTGCTCATCCCACCTTACCTCTGTCCCCCTCGGCTGTTTTGCGGGAGCTTATTCACAAGCTCTGAGTTCTTCGCCGACGTATCGCCAGCTTTCCTTCTGAAGCTCCTCCGCTGTCTGACCTCCACCTCAACGTACCCCTGAAGACAGGAGAGACTCGGATATGCCGCTCGGGGAGCCAGAGGACCAACCTCCAGAGATCTTTGTCTTATCTTAAAATGTACGCCTTTTGCTTTCTACTTTATAACATTCTGTCCATGTTAGTTCTAGTATTAAATTTTTTTCAAATGTATTTATTGCTGCAATTACTTGTCACCCTGGCAAGGTGTATGGTGACAGTCACCTGGCATATACCACTTTACCAGCTACCCCCCCACCTGAAAGCTCGCCTGGCTTGTTGCACAGCTTTCCCCAGAACTCCCAAAAGAGGGGTGCCTAGCCCAGGACCCAGGAAACCCTCCCAACTCTGTGCAATTGTGCATAGTTGTGTTTCTGGGAGGAAGTATGGCTCTCTGTGAGATTCTCGAAGGGGACCACAGCCCTCTGAGAATTTCATTTGGGCCACTAGACCGTGCTCTGCATTCCCAGCCGTGTGCCACCGCTGCCCGGGCAGTAATTCACTTTAAGAGCCATCCTAGGGCTGGCGTCACCTTCCTCTACCAAGGAGGCATCTTGCCCTGGCCGACTGCGTTCATCTGATTCAAGGAAAACTGGAATGTCCCTAAGAGTGGCATGTTGGTCCTTTCTGTGCAGGAGAGCTGATGACAGCCAGGGGAAAGTCCTCCGTACCCCTCCTGAGAGCCAGAGGCCCCCTAGTTGAGCGGCTTGCGCATCCCACTCTGCATTTAAATGACAAACACCGGCCACTGCAAACCAACTCTGCTCTTCCTCGCAGAGAAACCGCTTCCCGGTGAGGGCACAGCCTCCTGCTGAAGCCGGCGGCGGCGGCTGTCCTGACAGCAGCCCCCCAGCAGTGGCCCAGCCAGGAGCCAGGGGCCGGCTGGCCCTCCTGACGTGGGCTTTGGGCAGCAGCTGCGGCAGCCGGGCGCTCCCAGTGCCGAGAGCCACAAAGGCCTGCCCGCCTCACCCTGCGTGGCTGGGCCAGATGGCG